GGGCGATTTCCCATGGGATGAGCTGCACCTGTTGAAGCTTGATTCCCTTTTAATTTGCATTTCATTAATTATTCATGGTCCAGATTCAAACACCTGCTTACCAACCTCCACCCCCCATCCCCAATACCCCACCCTGTGTTCGTCCTCTGAGCTTTCTGATTACATTGCTTCCTTCCATGCTCTTCAGTCATTTTCCTCAAGGTCCTTTCTGCTCTCAGTGGAGCAGAGAGTTTATCTTATTGATTCTGGATACTGATACTTTCCAGGTGATGTTAGATAATGAAGATAATGACTCTGAATAGCAACGCAAAGGGAGCAACCATTGGTTCTTTTTCAGAAAAATCTCTCTCATTTCAGAGGCCTCCTGGTGTGGAATCCTGGTCAGAGTTCTTCTGAGGGCAGAGGACGGAGACAGTCTGTGCATGGTGGGTTATCCTTGCTTCGTTCTTTCAGTGATTCTCAACTTCACCTACTCTTAGGCTCATGTGGGGAGTGCTGGAAAGGTCCAGTGCTCAGGCATCTGAAAAGAAGATGGGATGAATCTTTGACTTCGGAAGTATACTCTAGATCTGAGAATGTACTTCAGCTTTACCGGGGTCTATTTGGCAAATGAAACTGTGCCTAGTTTTCGTGTGCACAGCCGGAAGCGGCTTCATGGGGACCATGGACAATTTTCAGCACACATTTGGCATTGCTGTGAGTCAACTGGGGACTCGTGGGTGCAAGCAATGCTCACCATGTCTTCAACGTGCCTGATTCACTTGGCAGAATTTGACTAGGTGCGTGTGTTGGTAGAGTGGGGCGGAGATTTCCCAGCTCTTGTGGATTTTTAAGAAGTCAAAGGTCCTCCCAAGGCCCTCTGTCCTCTAAATCAACTCAGTCTCGGAGAAACAGTCTTGTTAATGGTTTGGATTGCTAACAAAGTAAAGAAATGTTCAAGCCTTCGGAAAATCAGTTAAAAACAAACGCGGAATGAGAGTCAATAGATAGTACATCATCTTTTCAAGATTTTTATTGACTTCCAAACAAACTAAACACACATATTGACAATGGCATTCTATACCACTAATTTCACGGAGGAGAAAAGACCCAAGAATGCCTTCCGCAGATTTCATGCCTGGGTCCAAGGCACCCCTCTCAGGGCAGGGTGTGGCTGAAGAGAAGCACCTCTCAGGTTCCCTAACTTTTCCCATATTCAGTCATGTAGACAGCAGATACGGAGTAATTCCATGATTTCCAGTTGACATGAGAGTTGAAGACTGACTGGTGTTATGCCAGATACGGTAGAAGAAAAAATGCACAAGACCTGGATCATGGTGTCATGGTAGCTAGCTTGCAAAATAAATCTACCCTTTTTTTTTTTTTTTCTAAACTCTAGGCCTGACTCCACCTAGCTCTTTAAACAAATGAAGATTACATTAGGTCTGGCCTGATAATTTTGAATATATTAGGGGGAATACATAATAAATATTTGGAATTATATTGGGAGAAATATGACAGCTTTAAACATTTGCAATTACTGTTGTGGAAATATATTACAGGGAAGGACACCTCTTTCCATATCCAAATCGTTAAGATTGAAAACTATTGCCACCAATCCTACTACTCTAAGAATGAGCCTTCTTAGCCCCGTGGGACTTTGCCACATGGCTAAATCCGAAAAGTCTAGGAATGAACTTTCCTTGTGCTCTGGCACCTGCTGCTGTTCGTTGGCCTGCACATGCATTCTGTAGAATGACTTTGGTCAACGGTGGTGAAAGAGGGCTAAAGTCTGATTTTTTTTTTTATCTTGCCCAACTCCCTCCCTTACATGCCTGGGGAGTCAAGCTCTATAATTCATAAAGTCTTAACAGAGGCGTCTCATTTAGACAGATATATCATGGCCCACTTTCCATACTGGCTCTGGCACAACATCATGTAACAAATAAGGGTTTTTAAATTTTTATTTTTTGAGGCAGAGTTTTGCTCTTGTTGCCCAGGCTGGAGTGCAGTGGCGCAATCTCGGTTCACCGCACCCTTTGCCTCCCAGGTTCAAGCGATTCTCCTGCCTCAACCTCCTGAGTAGCCGGGATTACAGGCATGTCCCACCAAGCCCAGCTAATTTTTGTTTTTTTCAGTAGAGACCGGGTTTCTCCATGTTGGTCAGGCTGGCGTTGAACTCCCAACCTCAGGTGATCCACCCGCCTTGGCCTCCCAAATTGCTGGAATTACAGGTGTGAGCCACCTCGCCCGGCATTTTTTTTCTTTTTTTCCAGAGACAGGAGATAATCAAAGAGTTAGGCTCCCTTTTTAATCCAATAAGAAATATTTTATGACCTACTCCCTCGGAAGTCTACTATCTGAAGGCTTCCTCTGCACAGTAAAACTTGGCCTCCACAGCTTTTTATTTTAACCTAAACATTTCCTTTCAATTGATCCCGGTCTTTAGATAAACTCAACCAATTATTAACTGGAAAACTTTTAAATCTCCCTATAAGCTGGAAGTCCCTCTGCTTCAAGTTCTCCCACCTTTGTGGACCAAACCAAGGTATTTCTTCAATGCATTTAATTGAAGTCATGTCCCCCTAAAATGTACAAAACCAAGCTGCTCCCTGACTGCCTTGGACACATGTTCTCAGGACCTCCTGAGGGCTGTGTCACAGGACATGGTCAATCATATTTTTCTCAGAATAAATCTCTTCAAATATTTTGCAGAATTTAACGCTTTTCCTCAAAAAGGTCATGAGGATTAGGGTCACCAATGTGAAGGGAGCACCAATTTCTGGCCTCACAGTAATAAAGGAAGAGAAAACACGAAGGAGAAGGAGGAAGAGGAGGAGGAGGAGAAGGAGAAGGAAGAGGAAGAAGAGGAGGAAGTGAACCTGGAGCTTCTCCCTAAAGAAAAGAAAATGGAGGAGGAGGAGGAGGAGAAGGAAGAGGGGGAGGGGGATGGGAGGGGGAGGGGGGGATGGGACAG